TTGGAGAAGGCCTTGCCAAGATGGAGCTATTCTTGTTTTTTGTCGGTTTACTACAGAGGTTCTCTTTCTCCGTTCCTGATGGGATAGAGCTGAGTACAGAGGGAATTACTGGCGCTACACGTGTACCGCACCCCTTCAAGGTTTATGCCAAAGCTCGCTGAACTGACAAGACTCAGCAAAACACTTAAGGAGAGAAAGCTGTAATGACTTAACCTTTCACTGTTGTATGATTGCTTCATGTGCTGAGGACCTGTTTATTCTTTCCTGTATTTAATTCTGGGTGATAAGGGAAGGGGGAAGCATAGCTTTACAAGCTATCAATTATAATAAAACTACCCTAGGGATGAGTCTAGTTTGGTTAAAGATACTTAGAAAAAGTAGTTCAAACTACTTTGTAAAAACATTATCAAATTGACTGCAATTGAAAGTGCCCACTTGTTCACACCCAAACCCCAAAACAATAAAATACCCCACTATTCATGGGAAAGGGCAAGGATAGCTCGCAAGTCATGTATTAAGCATGACCGGGATGAGTTTTGGGAGGTTTAACCATGATGACGCTGTGAGCACTGAGCAACGCCTGCCTTTTTATACATGCTCTACACAAAGGTCATGTTTTTGTGAGTGGCTGCTGGAGGAATGCATTGTTAACAAAGAGTACAGGGCTGGTCAAAAGGGGTTCAATTACAGATATAATTAATTTCACTTTTATGACCATAATTTCTTTCCTGTTACAGTAGTTAACTAAAATACTAAAAATATGGCCAAAAAAAGTAATTTACTTAATCATTATGCAAATATGAATGCAGTTTAACTACCAGAAAGTAACTGCAAAATGAAGTTAAACTACTAGCTGAATTACATGTACTTCCCAACTTCCCAACACTGTTGATAAAGTTATTTTTACAAAAATATTGTATTAACGCCACTGTTAATAATAAATAAAACATTTCTCAATGTCATTGTAGTTTTTAATGACAACATGTATATTAAATTGTTACGTTTTCTTTACAGTAATGAACAATTATAGGTTATTAGTTAATAATGAACTAAAATTAGTAATAAAACATTGATACACATTTGTTAATGACTAATACATTATTGATTTGTGTCACAAACCTGGTTTAAGTCAAAGTAAAAACACAACAGATCATACATTCATGGCTGGTAACTTATTTAAAGGCTACTGGAAGTAACAAATCAGTTGTGTATTAATAGTTATTAATTTTATTATACCATTTGTTCAACTGTGAAAATTAGCCTATTACACAAACATTTCAAAGCACCACATGCAGAAGAAATGTCTTATTTTGGTGCCATCTAGTGGTCATATTAGGAAGGACAGAGAACAATGTCTGCTATATTCCACACAAATAAACTAAATTTTATGCCTAAATAGTAATTTGTGAAAGATGTTATGATAAACATTTCACACATGGTAAAAGTAGATGAAAGAGTTAGGGTTAGGGTCAATGAACCATTTCTTAACTTTGTTAGAAATTCTGGTAAAATATGAAATGTTAAAGGAGTACTCCACTTGTTAGCCTTTCACTCTTATAACATTGTCAGACTCATGATGGAAAGTATTGAAATTAATGTAGCAGATCCAGAGATATTGTCTTTTTTGTTTTCTTCCTTGTCAAAACCTGGTGCATACATCAAGTGACATTATTTGGAGCTACAAAAGGCTTTAGACATCTTTTTTTTATATATGTAATCAGTACTCCCCATGACCTGTAGGCAGACGTTGATGTGTAGAATCTTTGGAGCCAGTTGTCAATAACTGTTTTACAGTTCTCCTTTCTAATGTAGCAAGTCTTGACAGTACCGTGGGTTCTCTCAGCACACAAACCCACAACACAGGGTTAGTAGTCCAGACCACTTTATTTATTTCTCCACCACACACCCTCTTCACACAACACTTATCCTGCTTAAAAAGTCCATGAAGGTTTTTCCCAGTTGTCCTTCCTGTTGTGTTTTGGGTCTTCCAGGTCCAGCACACTACTGCATTAAAAGCGGTGAGTTTGACTACTCAATGAGTACCAGCTGAGATAATCAACTCACCTGGTGCTGCTCTCACAAGCCTTCCCCACACCTCTCTCTCTTGCAGCTAACTGTAAACCACACCCACCTCCACAGCAACAAAATGTCAAATACCTTTTTAACAGCAGCAGCTTGTCATAGCAGGAAACACAGGCGTGGATAACTTTAAAAATGGCAGCATTCCATTTAGGTGAACCTGGTATAGAGCATTGTGCTGGCTTACATGGCTTACTGGGACACCCGATGAAACTGAGCCATCTTTTTTGCTATGACAGTTCAAAAAGTATGCCATGAAAAATGTCTATTACCAGAAAACCCCAGATCAATATCATACTCCCGATTCCAAAAGGTTTGCGATGACAGGACTGTCAATAATGCCAGAGTCATCAACAAGCCTATATATTTTCTGTGATCAACTTAACATAAAAGATGAGAAGTTATAAGAGGTGGACAGAAATGTGCAGATTGGTTAGAAGGAAACTACATTATGAACAATTAAACTGACAAATGACTGACATCACTCAGAACAGTTTAGCCTCGTAAACAGCTTCTTGTTTATGGCGGAAATGTTTTTGTTTAATGCTCCTTATAATGTCCATTTTGTTACAGTGTGAAAGTATGGGTCAGTTTGTTTTAGCTTATTTTTACTCCATCCCCACTCTCACAGATGGATCATTGTATCTATATAAGCTGTGAGTCAGCAGAGTACCATCCCATCTCTAACTAGAAATGGCTGATGGAGCAAGTGATCCTCATCAGTCGCTTGCTCTCCTCCTTGGCTTTCACAATGTGGCTGTGTGAACTGTTTCTGTGGCTTGATATTGATCTGAGGGCATTGCTTTGGCTTTTTACTTTTGCCGTCCCCGTTGGAGTGTATTTTCTGAACAAAAAGGATCCACCTAACTTTCCACCAGGACCACCGGCTCTCCCTCTTTTAGGAAACGTCTTCAGCATTGAATCTAAACAGCCTCACATTTACCTAACCAAGGTAAGACAACATAATCATATTTCCATATTATGCAGTGGTGTTTTTGTGATTCTGAAAATTCAAATGAAAACTTGAGCTTTTCACCAATAACTACTACTTTTGTATACAGCAGACAGGTCCTCAAACAAGGGAACATTTAAAAAATGTTTGTTTGTTAAAACTAAGAAAACTTGCTGATAGTAAGTCACAGTGTCGCTGCAATTATTGTCCTAAAATATGTGTCTCATTAGAGTCACATGCCAGACAACAGGCTGCCTATTCTCTGCTCCTGCATCCACAGTTAGCTGATATCTATGGGAATGTTTTCTGCATACGTCTGGGAAGACACAAAACAGTGTTTGTGTCTGGGTGGAAGATGGTGAAGGAAGCCATAGTGACACAGGCTGACAACTTTGTGGACCGGCCTTACAGCCCCATGGTGACCAGGATTTATTCAGGGAACTCAGGTAAATCACACAAACATACAGTAATAAAATAGTCCACCTGCCTCCTGATCCCCGCGTTAGAAATGCAGTGTGGCTTCTCTCTGTCTCAGCGGGACTTTTCTTCAGTAATGGGAACGTGTGGAGGAGACAGCGGCGCTTTGCCATGGCCATGTTACGTACTTTTGGTCTGGCCAAGAGCTCCATAGAGCAGAGCATCTGTGAAGAGAGCCATCATCTGCAGGAGGCGATGGAGAAGGAGAAAGGTTGGCAAAAACAACAAAACAGAAAAGAGACCAAAATGTAACAGCGTGAAAATACACACAGTGTACTGTGACTGAAGATGTTCCTTCTGTTCAGGAGAGCCGTTTGACCCTGTGCCCCTCTTAAACAACGCTGTGGCCAACATCATCTGCCAGATAGTGTTTGGGAGACGGTTTGACTACAGTGACCACAACTTCCAGAGCATGCTGAAGAATCTGACTGAGATGGCCTATCTGGAAGGCTCCATATGGGCTCTAGTAAGATGCAAAGCAGCTCAGAAACAGCTAACATAACGTGAAGGAGAACCAGCGTTCTTTGTACACGCTGAGTTAGGGGAAAAGATTTGCAGATTTGTTGTCTATCAGAAATTACTGTGAACTGAAGTGAGATCTGAATTGTCCCGTTTCCTCTCCAAACAGCTATATGATGCTTTCCCAGCACTGATGAAACGCCTGCCGGGGCCTCACAATGGCATCTTCAGCAACTCCAAATCTTTGGAGGCATCGATCAGGGGAGAGATAGAGAGGCACAAGTTGGATCTGGACCCCAGCAACCCAAGAGATTACATCGACACCTTCCTGATAGAGGAGAAAGTATGGTGATCACAATAAGCCGATCGGTGCATACTGTATGAGAACCAAAAACAAACCCTTTAGTGAACTGGCTGTATGTTTGTCCCTTCGCTCTGCCCGACAGCACAACAGAAACAGTCAGCTGGGTTTTGACGACGGCAACCTGGTTTTGTGTTGTCTGGATTTGTTCCTGGCTGGTAGTGAGACCACTTCGAAGACCCTGCAGTGGGGCCTCATCTACCTCATCAAGGACCCTCATATCCAGGGTGGTTCTTCAGATACTCCCACAGCAGCAGCACAGAAGAAAACTATAGATATGATTTATTACCCGAGAAGTGGAAAGGTTCTGCTACACTTAATGGAACGGCGCCTTAATTAGTATAATTGACAACACCTCTGTTTACCCTACAATTGCATGTCAAAATGGCTGCTGTGAAAAGGTTTATTCACTTTAATGGATCAATTGAAAACTTTTATTTCGATTCCTAGACGAACTCCATTCAGAGATAGACCGAGTGATTGGACAGACCCGCCAGCCCACTATGGCAGACAGACCCAACCTGCCTTACACTGACGCTGTCATCCATGAGATCCAGAGGATGGGAAACATCGTTCCTCTCAATGGACTCAGAATGGCCGCCAAGGATACAACACTGGGCGGTTACTTTATACCGAAGGTGCATCCACTTCTAGCACAGAGCAACTAGGGAGTGAAAACTGACAGTTGTGTCCATTATGTGTCTATTAGAAAACCGATATGTACATTCTGTCTGAAATATGATAATGTGGGGAAAGCCAGCCTCAGTTTTGTTTTATGATGTATTCCCTATTCTCATGTTGCTTAATAATATTATATTATTACATTTTAGTGTGTGCAGAGTTTAGTGTCATTGCTGGTGACTTAAGATTTAACTGGCAACTTCAAATTCCACTGAAGTGCATTTAAAACACTGTTATGCTTGACATAACAATTACTCCAGAACCATATACAGTGATTTCTGGCGTTCCCTATGGCGATAATCTGTCCTGGCCTCCACGACCCTGTTGGTTAGGTACTTCATGGTTATGAAATGGAAGCATTTCTCGCCCTCTAAATTCAAAGATTGGATGGCACTGGAGCTGGAGAAAATAAGATACTCCACTGAAGCCTTTATAAAACATTTTATACAATCTAAAAGCCTTTGGGGGATAACATGAATCCTTGACACTGGAGGTTATTAGTTTATTTTTCTTGTAAATGGTAAAAAAAATATACATAAAATTAGGAAGAGGAAGGAAATCTGACAAATAATTTAGCCACATAAAAAACACAACCCTTCACTGTGTCAGTACCCACTTGTTGACATTATCCATGTGTGGCTGTACTATTCCTTTACCCCTTCTTATCCTAGGGAACCTCTGTGATGCCCAACCTCACCTCTGTGCTGTTTGACAAGAACGAATGGGAAACTCCTGACACCTTTAACCCTCAACACTTCTTGGATGCTGAAGGAAAGTTTGTGAGGAGGGACGCATTTTTACCTTTCTCTGCAGGTAACTTTATACATTTAACTACTGAGAGAATCGACTCCATTTTAATTCCACAGGGACTAAAATCCTTTAGGATACAGTAAAGTGTGTGCTTGTAGCTAAATAATCAGTGTACAAGAAAATATTTTCAATGCATGCAGTTGGCTTTATTCTTTTAATGCATTTATTCTTGTTTGTCCAGGAAAGCGTGCATGTCTGGGTGAAGGCCTGGCGAGAATGGAGCTGTTCCTGTTTTTTGTCAGTTTGTCTCAGAAATTTTATTTTTCCACTCTGGATGGAGTTGAGCTGAGTACAGAGGGAATCACTGGAGCCACACGCACACCCTACCCTTTTAAGATTTATGCCAAAGCCCGCTGAACCCTGCAACCTATCCCCGACTATAGAATATGCTACAGAAAGACAAAAAACTATTATACATCTTTATGTATATAGAGACAACACATAGACTATGCTACAGACTGTGGCTAGTTTTCCTTTCATACCATTTAAGCTTTTAAGCAGTCCAGTAGAGACAGCATTCAACAATATGTCCTGTTTACGTGTGTGAAATATTGGAGCTATGAACTATAGCATGCTTTGTTATATAATCTTATAACATGTGACTGTTTTGAATTATCATTTTTCAAACACCAGTACACGATATCTGTGATTTCAGTTGGACTATTGCCCACTATAAGAATTACAGAAATGGCAGATTTCAATCTCCTTTATGTCTCTTGTATGTTACCTACAGTTGTGCATGGTTGGATCTATCCAAATGGGGTTGATTTGTAAAATATGTGTGAAGGCACTCAGTAAATAAACACCTATGTGTCAAATGATTTGTGAACAGTGTTTAAAATTAAACACAATCATTTTAAGCTTTGGTTTTAGATAAGATTGATGCTACTCAATGTAAAACACACATTTAGAAAAAGAATTTATTTATTCACAAGAAAACCAAAGATTTAAATGTACTTAAATTCCTGAAAATTCATTATGCCTTCCCCACTTTTCTTCATTTACACACAAACAAAACCTTACACATGTAGTTTATGTGCTGTGCTACGTTCATCATACATCTTATCTTTATATAAATGACACTACTTTTGAATCAGCAATCTACAAGAATCATCCACTGCAAAAGGAAAATAAAAGCGCTTTGACGTACATCTATCGATCACAGATGGTGAAACCATAACAAAATGCCTCTTTAGTGTTATTGCAGACATACAGAGTGACAAGGCAATCAACAGCCATTCCTGTTGTGAAACTAGTGCAGTTTAACTTAAGACTCCATAAAGGCTGAACAGCAAATAACCCACAATATCAAAGAAAACAGCAGCTTCTCTACAGCGCTCCTCGCTGAGTTTCCACCAACACTAAAACAGCCTCAAAACATGTCTGTGATTAAATACAATATCAACTACAGTAATTCAAATTCTCAAGTTACAATTTGCAGATACTGTACGAAAGCTTAACCTGGTTCTGACATTTGGATCAGAAGCTGGTGTTAAAATCATGTTTACACTAGAGCTGTACAACTTTATAGATTATAGACTTGATTACACACTACTAAATAAGATTTAAGATATTCGGTGAATAGAAAGGCCTGCCAGTTTTCATTTTAAGCATGCTGCCAGTAAGGAAGTCGAATCACACTTTAGTAGTATAGAAAATACACGATACATACACTAGTCCTGGACATCTTGTGTAGGATTTGTTGTTGCAGCACCTCAGGTTGATTTTACTTAATATGATTTATAGGATTTTCACAGCTTTACATGATGGGCTTGTTCCATTTCAGTAAAAAAAAATAATTGTGACTGATGTTTAATGCTTAAAAGCAGTTGGTGGCCAGCACCAAATATAGCAATAATTTTCTCAAAGACATCTAAAGCAAGCTTGTCTTTTCATCAGTCCGCTGAATGACATTAATACCTCCTTAACTGCATAGTATGATGGTACAGTTTCCCACACATCAACAACCATCTGAAGTTACATTTAGTTGGCTTTAGCATTCAAGTAACCCATTTTAAAGTCACAATCATATATATTATGGGCTCCGATTCTGAATAAAATAGATAAGCATTCATTAATGTTCCTCTCGTTTCCTGATCATGTACACAGCATGACAGGATATAAGAGAGTCAAGAATAAATTGATTATATTACAAGAATTCAGCTGAATCTGCAAAGCAAGGAGGGCAGATGGGAAATATGCTCTTCTCTATGGTTGGGACTGTGTGCGCTACTTTAACTAGTGAGGTGAACACAGGTTGTGGTTCCACAAGGCCAGTGTAACATGGGACAGTATGCTATAACATCAGGAATGTGGCCTACATGGTTGTGTTTAATAAGTAAGTGCTCATCGATCCCAGTCAGCTCATCCATGACCCCTCCCCAAGCGCTGAGAGCAGCTGTGTTTAAGGTCACTTAAGTGCTCACTGGTGGGAGGGAGTGAGGGAGGGTATTTTTCCCATAACTGAATAAAGCTGAAACATTTGGCTCTACGTCAAGGTCTACTTGGAGGTAGTGGCAGGCACGCTGATGGAAAGCGCCCGGCGTGGGGCGTTTGAGACTTGGCGCTGCTGGGACAAGAAGGACTGGCCGGGGGACACCATGGAGGAGGTGCAGCCACCGAGACGTGATTCAATTGCCAACTTCTGAAAGTTTAGACTCTGAGGATGAAGAGAAACAAATGTGCAGTATACTTAAAGCGTCAATAATGTCATAAAAGGCGCAGTGAATATCATCATTTGCTGTGATTTCATTTTACCTTGTTGTACCACGCTGTGACGATCAGCTTCTCCTCGTACTCTCTCAGTCTGGCCTGCTCACATTGACGCTACAGAGGCAAATCAACCAAATATGTTAAAATTATTTTAAAAAACTGTATCTTCATATCACAAACGCTCAAATGCTGTGAACGACTCAAAAAGCAGATCTACCTCCAGAGTTACAATCTGCTTGTCCCGATCTGCTAGCTGGTTCTTCAGAGCCTGGATCTCAGCGGTGGCTGGATTTAGCTTAGGATCCAGCGCTCGGATCACCTACAAGCAGGATGGAAAGATGGTTCTGAATACAAGTGAGATCAAACTGCTGGACTCAACCTTGTATTTTAAAAACTAGGTTTGTATAAAAAATAAAGAGAAAATATACTATAATCACTCACATTGCGAGCTTTCTCCAGGTACATTTTGTACCTCTCTTCCATGGCCCTCATGTCATCATCCTTCTTCTTCAGAGCAGCCATCAACTCATCCAGCTTCAGGGCTTAGAGACAAGGAAGAAATGGCACAGCACAGTATGACTAAAGTGGAACCTCATCCACTTTAGTCATACTGTGCTGTTGTGAACTGATACAGTGTGACATTTTATTATGTTATTATATTATGTTACGTTTTCCACTCTTGAGGTTGCTGGTGTCTTATTGGCAAACTCAGACTGAGTGGAGACGTGAGACTTACAATTTTGAGTGTTATCGGGCTGAAGGTCCTCCAGCAGCTCTTTCTTCTTCATGATTTCATCCTGAGCCTCGTTCAGTTGGACCCTGAGAAATAAATGCTGTTTCTTTACCGGACATTCATTTTACATCTCTCAACTTTTATCCAAAAATGTACCCATGAGTCACACTTACATGTGCGCATCAAGTTTCCTCTTCAGGTTTGACTGAAAAAAACAAACAACTTTAAAGCTTCTAAAAATACAGTACAAAGATTACATTTACAAAATAAACAATTTGCTCTGAATCAGTTTAACATTTTGACTGAAAACATCAGCTAATGTGCGCCAGCACAAAGTCTAAACAGCTTAATGAGATTATCTGTGTGGGACATTTCCTCTGTATTGGCGCCAGTGCTCCTGGCACACTCACATCATCAGGTTTGGCCGCCTGACTCTGCAGAGCCTTCTGGAGGTCCTCGACCTGCTGCTGCATCTCAATGATGCGCTCTCGACTCAGTCTGCAGATTTATCACGGAGAAGAAGAAGGAAATATTAAAAGAATGCAATTTTAAAAAGAATTTAACACAATTTAAAACTTAACAGAGCAAAAATTAATCAACAGCAGAGCAGCCTATGACTGTCACATCAATCTGTTGCTGATTAACTCTGCTAACCTGTTCTCAGTGTCCAATTCACTGCGAGTCTTATGTGCTTCCTCCAGCTGGGCCTGAAGTGCAGCGATCTTCTCCCTCTCACACTCCTCCTGCTGCACTCTCAGCATCTTGTTCTCATGCTGCAGCCTGATGAACTTTTCTCTGAACAATCACACATACAAAAGGCAGGGTTCACACATTACACTGGAGCAGGCGGTAAACAAATTCTACATTGCCAGAAACTGCATCTTTTGCAGGCATGTCCAAGTGTGGCTGCAGTTGTTTTCATCCCAACCAAGCAGGAGCACACCAAGCTCCACTCATTTAATCAGCTGACCTCAGTCTTCAAACGGCTGATCAGGTTTGCTCTTGATTAGTTGGAACAAACTGTAGAATAGTTTGGACATGCCTGGTCCATTACCTGTATTCAATGGGTATTAATTCAGCTGCCAGGTTATCATGGCTGGGGCTGCCAGAAGGAAGCATCCCTATAAAAAGTATAAGTGCACTTTAGATTAACAAAGTGACAAATGGCTAATTAGTGTCTTTACTGTCAGATATGACTATCCTGTGAGGTACCTGCTTGGGAGAGCTGGAGCTGCTGAGCCTGAGTGCATCGCAGCTCCTCGTTGATCTCCTTCAGAGACTCTCTCTCCATGATGATCCTCTAGTGGAAGGGGAGAATGTTTTAAACAGCCCAGATGTTAGTGAAGGACATTTACTTCAGCTAGAGTAAAAAATCCTTCTGACACGTTTCATAAAGCTGCCACACCTCTTTCTCCTTCATCACAGTCTCGTGCTTTTCTTCTAACTTCTTCATCTCAAAAGCCAGGTTGTCTGCTCGCCTTGTCTCCTCAGACAACTTCCTGTGCAGCTCCTGGACCTGACAGACAGCACGTGAGCACAAAGGTTAACAAATAAAACAATATGTGGCACTATATACATTCTTTTACCTAATAAATGGTATTAAACGTAATCACTACAATCTCTCCTTCTGCTGTCCAAGTTAAAGAAATCAAATCTGTACCGTATGAGATTTATAACAATAGGCATAACAATAAATATGTTTTATTTTGGAGTGGCGTTTCCCTTCCAACCATGCTGGGCATATCACTCACCTGTCTCTTGTATGACTCGAGCTGTGCACGGGCAGCGTTGGCCTTGCGGAGTTCCTCCTCCAAGCTAACAGTGTTCTGCATGTACGTCATGTTATTCTCCTCCAGCAGCTTCATCTGCCTCTTCAGATCACCTAGATTCTCCAGTTTCCGTTTGTATGTTTCCACTGAGGCCTCCAGCATTACCACACGATCTGAGCAGTTCCTACGGCGCATTAATACAAAATGAATACAGAAATATCAGTGAATAACTGTGACACCAATCTGCGTCAGGAAGAAGAATTTTCTATCTTTAGGCATTAATCTCTGGTCTCCGCTAGCACAGGTAAAGGGTAAAAGGTTTTTCTCATATGAATTGTGAATAATTTATAGTTTAGATAATAATACCTTATGTTAATGTGTCAATGTTTTCCTGCTACTTCTTGTTTGCACTCAGAGAAGAAGTCAACCAAAGCCAGCTGAGAGCCGTTTGTATGCAGATTTGTGCATTGCATTGTTCCGGCCAAATAAAACATTATCTAATTTTACTGATTAGCACACCCTCAACCAGACAAGAGGAGTTAATCATGAGTTCTTCCCTTTCCACCCTTCGGACCTCATCAGGAGACAACAAGATGTCTTTCTGCATGCTACTCTTTGAAGAAAGAAAGTTGTGGAAAATTGTGTCCAGCATTTTCCACAGTATATTACTTTGCTTATGTTTGTAGTCTGCACTCTAAATAAAAGCCCCCCATCAACCTGTTACAGTGCACTACCCCAGATGGACACAAACCTCAGAACGTCCAGTTCATCTTTGAGAGCTCGAGACTCTTCTGCCAGGCTGGTGAGCTCGTCATTACGGTGCTGAACTTCAATCAGCTGCTTCTCCAGCTCTTCACAGTGGATCCGGTAGTCATCCTTAGCAGCCTCCAGCCTAAACAGATACAAATATGCATCATGGTTCAGACCTTTACAACTATGGAGAGGTTACTGCACTGCATTAAAGCAGGAGACACACCTGAAGTTCTCCTCCTGCAGCGCCTCTAACTGCTGCTGCAACTGGCTGTGTTTTTTCCCAGAGGGTGTGCTTGGGTCATCGAATGTGTCCAGCTGATTGGCTCGGTCTGTTAGGACGTCATTCTCAGCCAACAAGCTGTTCCGTTCCTCCTGAAGAACAGCCACCTGGTCCGGGTACAATAAGGTTTAGACCCACTCTTGCAAGTGATACAAGTTACAGTGAATTAAATATACACAAAACAAACAAACATTTGTGTCAAGTCAGTAGGAAGAATGTGTGATGTTAAATCTCTCTTTGGTCAATTACATTTCATGCAAAGCAGCAAAGACACATTTGAGCGTCAAAAGACACACCCCTTTCTATTATAGAGAGCGCTCCTGGTCTCCCAGCTGTTAAAGCAAACAGTGCAGTTAATCCATGCTGGAAGCAGAGCACAGACAAAGTGCACTTTAAGCAAACATGTTAATACACGGTTAGTTAGTTTTACTTCTCACCCATCATTTCTCTCATGTACTTTCTACCACCAGACACTGGACTATTAGTCCAACATTAACTTGTTATTGTTTAAAAGTCCTGCATACAAACTAGATAGAAACAACCTGTAGGATCAGTGTCTAACATCAGAAACTACATGTTAAGGGCTGGGCTACATGGTTGAAATCAATATAATAAAAATAATATTTTACCAATATATCACAATATCAACCTTGCAAGGCTGCTGGACTCGCAAGATCACAAAATCACGAGACAATCCATCTTGCCGGTATTTGTGCCTGTAAATGTATTTGTGACCCAACTACAGTGGTAGCGGACCAAAAATACTGCCAAGTGCTTTTTAAACGTGTCTGTCCTTTTCAAAACAGTTTCCAATGACGCCTTCCCAGATGGTTCTGTGGGACAAACCATCAGTCAGGTCATCGAAATATGGCCTTTAAAATAAAGAAACTTCAGTAACACATTTTCTTGCCTTTTGTTCAGTTTGCTTAGAATCATTAGATGACAGAATTTTGTAATAATAAGATCCACAGAGCCACATCACAACAAATAAACTAAAAGTATGAAAAGTAACACATAATTATTGCCCAGCCCTATCTTTAACTCTATTATCTTTTCCTACAAACTATACTGAAAGTCTTACATAGACAGAGATTCATTACAAAATAATATGATGTTGCTTTTACCAAAAGAATACGACAAAAAGGTTATTATGACAGACGGATGTTCCTGGGTGAATTACTGGAATAAAACCACACAATATTAAAACACACAATGCATGACTTGTCTCGATCTGAATCCTGATTGAGCCATCTGTTAGCGGAGTTAGAGTAAACATTTGAGCAGCTGGTTTAGATGGGTTTAGTTCTGCCAAATGGTCAGCCATGTTGAACTTACCTCACTGTGACGAGAGATGAGCAAGACTGGAGACAGAACAAATCAAATCTGTCGAGAGTCCAGTTGAATAGGTGATCAGTGCCTGTGCTAAACAGTCTGCCTGCACAGTGAGTGAGGCCTTCTATCAGTGGCAGAGCATGGGCTGGTTGCCACAGTGGAACCAGCAGAGCGCAGACTGTGAGCCCACAGTCTTTCTGCCACAGCAGCTCCAGACAATAGACCCAAGCATTACAGCGAATTACACAACTCCTGTTTATACTGTGCCACAGGCATACATGTGAGTGAGTTTGTGTGTGTGTGTG